ACAATCAAAATCAAGTTATTGTATGGAAAACTTTTTTATTCCACAAAATATTTCCACGAAATTCGGCAGCGATTATTCTACAAAGCAGGCCAACATTTTCCGAATAAATTATTCAGATCGGACCACTATAGCATATAACTTACAAATTGAAAGATCAAAATCAAGTTCTTATATGGAGTTTTTATATTTGTGAAGGTATTATAATTTCGGCACAAATCAAGTTAACTCTTTTAATTCGTATCATATTTAGTATCTCAAAAATCACCGTTAAATGCTCGTCACTACTTTTAACGCCACTCACACAAATATTTAATTATCTAAAAGTAGTGCACAATGAATCCTACTCCACCACAGGAGCTTCAACCATTGTATATTTTTAATTTCCCGCACCCGTTTTACTTGCTTACCGCCATTTTTACGCTCAAGCCAACCACCTCCATCTGCCTTATTGACTTAACTACACTTAATGTTATTATTTGCGCTTAAGTGTATTTGTTTTTATTTACATTTCGGTAATGCCTCGAACGTTAATTCCACACCAGTGCTAATAAATAAATCTCAGCGCTTCCTACTCACATAAATATTATCACACTCCACCTACCACCAACTACCCGCGTACCACTAACCCCCCCCCCTAAAATTGTACTACTTATTTTCTAAGTTGCTCACGACACCCTCCCACAAACGCCCAACGCAGCGCGTAATGATACATTACTACCATAACTATTATGCTTTACAGTCACTTTTCCCACTCCCGTGCAATTTCCACTCCACTCTACTACTCCTTTACACTCGTCTCTACCACTCTCCACTCTCATAACCTTTGCCTGCTGGCATCAAGCACTTCATCGCCGCTTATTGCCGTAAAGTAAAACAATAGTCATAAACACATTAAATTAAATTGCTTTTCAATTTGCTGCCGCCATCATCAGCATACAAACACAGGCGCTTCCTTTGCATTGTTGTTGTCATTTCAATTTCCCTTTCCGCTAACAGCCGAATTGTTGTTCCTTTGCCGAAACACAAAGTCATATATTAGACGCTCTTACAGTGTATTTGAGAAGCATGCGTACCACTTTCGCGCTGCTGACAACAAAAACTGTCGAAATCGAAATTTATGTGCTTGCACCATTGTTGCCTGTTGTTTTTGTTATTGTCGCATCTAATTTATTTGCAAGTTTTTACACTTAACTACTATTTAGTTATACTTTGATATATTTTTAATGCTTCAAAACATATACATACATACATATGTATGTACATATTTTTGTATGCATGCATTTTTGTAAGTTTGTAGTTCTATTTGTTTATTGTCTAGCGTAATCCATTAAAAATTTCGCCATTGTTGGCATTTGTGTCTGCCATAAATTGTGTTTCCTCATTGCTTTCCCGCGCCATAAGGATATCCCATACCATCCTGTCGCTGCTTTGTGACAGCGGAGCAACTCCTACTTTTTGTGTTGTTGTTATGTTGCAGTTAACCTTTCGTGTTCTCATTTATTATATATTATTTTTGCAACAATAGTGACGCAGCAGCAGCGCTATTTGAAGTGGAGTTTATTAAAAAGCAATAACACGCTAAAAGATACAAGCGAAAATATGAGTTGCACTGGTGGAAAAAGCATGAGAACCCGAAGAAAGCAAAAAAATGCAATAATAGCAGCGAAGATGTACAACCAAAAGAAAAAAACAAAATATATATACACATATGTACATATCTATGCATTGTCTTCCGCGCCTTGCGGGACCTCAGCTGTCTGCTGTTATTACTTTTTGTTTGCCGCGCTCAACAGCGCTCTTCAATTGTTCACATATCCTTTTCACTTTCTGCACTACGGTCTCAAATCACTTTTTGCAGCAAATATTTATTTTATATTTGATAGTTTTACCGTTGCTGGTTATCTTTTTGCGTTGCTATTATGTTTCGGCGTATAGAAATCACTTAATCTATTGTAACTTCCTTTCATAATAAGAATTGAAATAAGATAAAAGTACTCAAATAATAGCACACACACACAGTAAACAGTTCGACAATGCCTTGTCATCGTTTGTCAATAGCCACGCCTTCATTGTGTCCATAACGGCTGGTTTTAGTTTATTTACACTGCGCTACATATGAACCACTCTATAAGCGCCCCGTAGCCAGTGTGAACTATAGCCATAAGTAAAGACACAAGTACATCCATAAGTATAGTCACACAATCAGTTTATCTTTCCACATCTCGCAAGCGCAAACGTTCATTAATCGAATTTATTGTTTTACTTTCGTTCGAGTGTTATTTTTGCGTAGCTTTTCCCTGCTCTGATTGTTTAGCCTCTATCTATTAAATTCGTTGTGCAAATTAGACGAACTTCCAGCGCGTTTGGGTTTATGTCAACATTCATTTGTTGCTTGTTTACATGCGCCACACTCGCCAAGCGTACACACACAGCCACCTGCCGTTTCGGCTGTTATTTCCAGCGGCCTTTTAATTGTCATTTCCGTGAATTGACATTGCACTTATTCAAGCGTGTTTCGCTTTGACTTTTGCTGTGCTAAAATGCGCAGAAAATTTCTTGAATCAATTTTGATTATTGATGCTTCCTTTAAGGACTTTCATACAGTCAGTTGTAAAGGATATATGAACTAGTGGAACATTGATGTAACTAAAGTTGTTATTCAGAACCTTTTCCTTATACTATTCACTGAAACTTTATACCGTTATAGTCGTAAAAAGAAGGGGAAGCGGAGGAAGAGGATGACGTCTCGGATGTAACTGCGTAGACGTGCACCTTCACATAACTCCCCACAAAATTATACAGCGGTGTTAAATCGCACGATCTGGGAGGCCACGCCAGCTCACGATAATAAGATCCCTCGATTCAGGCACGAAAAAGTCGTCAATAAGCCCTCAGCATGAATTCCCCATTGACTGTAACTTTATAGCCACTCTTAGAACACAACAAACAATTACATTTTGAGGGTGCAATGGTGTCTCAGCCATTGGTTGTAGATTATCATCACGCCAAATTCGAAAATTTAGTTTATTAACGTACCAAAAATGAGTTTCATTGCTTAACAAATTTTTCGGGTGAAATTAGGGATCGGTGACGGCCATCTCGCTTTAGGCCCATTTACCAAACGTTGTTTCAGTGCCAAAATATTTGGATTTAAATAGTACTAGACCACACTGAAATGGTTCACATTGATGAATGTATCAAGTCTTATTGAAAAGACGGTCGAGAGTTCGTTGAGGACATGCCTCGTTCTGAACAATCTTCAACCTTTTCGACTAATGAAAATATTGCTTGCTAATGAAATAGTGCTTGAAAATCGTCAAACAAGTGTTGGAGAGATAACAAGAAATCTCACATCATTCGCGCGTACATTCGAATGATTTTTTTTTTGAATATTTTGGATATGAAACGCGTTTTTGCTTGACTCGTCCCGATAAAGCTGATTGTTTTCAAAACGAGTGCCGTAAACAGGTCTATTTTGACATGTTTGCTCATGAGAATTACGATTTTATTAGCCAAATAATCATTAGCAGCATTACCTGTACTATTCTGAACTTTCACTCATTAACATCTACTTCGTCCTCTAATTTTGAGTTATCACACCAAGAAAAAGCACATATTGCACTACATACTCTATCCAAACTGGTTAGCACCACTGAAATACGATGACCACTCACATGCACACGTAAACGTTAATAAAGCAATGAACGCCCGTAATCTATGTGTAATCGCCTTTGATGGACACCTGAGCGTATTTCGTATTCTTCGCCAAATTATATGGCGCGTATGTCAATAAACGCATTAGTCTGTGCCACAACAGCAAACATATGTGTATGTATGCACGCTAGAGCCACTCCTTATTCGGCTTTGATGTACAAATCAGCATTTCAGCGTGATTCAAACATACGAGCACGCACGCATATATACAAAGTTAATATTTAGATTCGAGCTCGAGTACTCGTATGACTTTAAGCATATGTTTCTTTGCGTCTAGCGGGAATTGCAAGAATTTTGCGAGGTTTTTATGTTTTTTTTACATTTCCAGTTTAGTTGTTGCTGTTGTTGTTGTTGAAACCTTCGTCTATTACTATATTAACCGCAAAATCGCACATCCACGCAGCTAGCCTTATTCTTATTGATTATCAATTTGGGAATATGTTATGTCAACACCGGCAATAAGAAAAGACACACACGCACACACCTATACACATGTACCTATACACATGCTTATTTAGTATGTAGTCTGAAAATAAGGATTTCCCAACACGTTCATTCATTTTGTCTGCTGTTTTTAGCTCATTCAAGACTTTAGGGAAATCCTTTGTTATTGGCTCCACTAGCTTTGGCTAAGCGCGCACATATACACACATACAAATGCACAAGCTTGCGCGTTGTATCGTACTTAATATGCGCCTTCACACGGCTACTTATGCGAATTCAATTTAGCATAACTTAACGGTGCCTTATTATACTTCGCAGGTATCCTTTGCTCTGGCATCTCTAGCCACTGCTAAAAGCTTTTGCATCTGTGGCTGCGGTTACACTAGCGCGTCAGCGGGTTTATAACGAACGCTTGCTGCACTTTGTTTTGGCACGTTTCGACTTTATAGTTCATTTACTTTTTGGGTTTATTTGTTGTTGTTTTTTTTTTTCTCCACTCTTCGAAAATGTTTCGCATGCCATTGTGGTTAAGGAAAATTGGATTTTAAGCGAAAGCGCTCGTCCTTTCCCATATCTTCGCTACTTGGTTTTTTATATGAAGGTTGCTCGAAAGGAGTCAGTTGAAGAGATTGTTTAAAGGAATATGTGTTGTTGTTTTCGAGCAATTTTTATTACAAAAATGTAGTATAATAATGCAAAAAAATTTTCAAATATTTTATCTCTTTTAGAATATTTATTATATATAGAATAATAATATGTATAATTTATATATAATAATTAATATAGAAATAATATGATCTCCCAAGTCGTAATATCTTTTTTTGTGTCATTTTTTTTTTCAGATCGAAGATGAAGGCAACCATGGCAATGACGAAACTCGTCTGTTTATTTTGTCCTCTTTGGCTCAGTCGCAAATGAGTCGAGTTGCTTGCATTTTATGCGAGGAACCAATGCTGGTGTTCGATCGCTATCCACTCGTTGATGGTTCGTTCTTTTTAAGTCCGAAGCAACATTCAAACGGTTGCATTGAGGTAAGTGTTACCTTTTTTTTACGATACTTCTTAAATAATTTAAAAAATCAGTGTTTGTAATTGCATTAAGAGGCTAAGGGGCTCGACCACTGTGACAGCCTAAAAAAATGAAATTTTGTGAAATAAAAGATTTAGGGTATCAATTAAATATAATTAGAACTACTCACTAAAATGTTTGGAAAAAAAAGTACTTATTTTTTGATTTAGAAGCGATCTTAAACGGCGGCAAAAAAGGCACTGCTACAATGATTTCGGCCTTCGCCGTGGCTCAAACCTAAATAATAAACTCTCCACTAGCGGATATTGTCCATAAAATGAGCCACGATCAAAAAAAAAAAAAACTTAAAAAAAGATGGCATTTAAAATAATTTTTCCCAGTATTTTCAAAAAAAAATTTTTTTTTTTTGTGTCTAGTAAAGTTCATTTTTTAATCACCTCCAAAAGTTTGTAGATCACTGTATGAAGAAGTATATGCTGAACATACAGAAAACAGTTGATTAGCGAATCGAACAAATTGGTATAAATCGCTTAAACTGGCATAATGGAATAAGGAAGAAATGAAAGCGGTTATACATTTGTTATGAGGTAACCGCAAACTCTCTTCAGTAAAGTCTAATTGCTGTTCCGAATTTCGTTTTATCTCTTCGATATACTGAAAATGGGTTCCATTCCGATGACTGCTGATTTATTTATTTATTTGCATGTCAAACTCATAATCCATGTTTCATCGGCGGCTTTAATGCTCTCCGTAAATGTGGAATCGGAATTCATACGATCAAACATGTCCAAAGAAACCTGTTAAGGGTACTCTTTTTGAAAAAATATCAGCTTCTTGGGAACAAGTCGAGCAAGAACGCGTTTCATACCCAAAATATCCACAAATAATTGTCTCGGGAGATGTCGAGCTCTTTTGTCATCTCTCTGACACTTGCCATATCCTTCTCTTTTGTAATATTTTAATCAGTTGAAGAGGTCGAAGATCGTCCAGAACGAAGCTTGTCTTCAACGATCTCTCGACCATTTTTGAAGGCTTTGTATCACTTGTAAGCTTGTGTTTTTAATCACGTAAGCCTTTAAAGGTTTTCTTTGGTATCTTGGAAAAGACGTCATAAGTTGATGGTATAATATATAATATCACTATAAGTTTCTATAAGAGAGAGAGGGTGAGAGACGCAAAAAAAAACAGAGATATTGTATGTTCTTATACTAGAATTTCGACATTTAGTTGAATATTGCAGAATTTTGTATGCAAATTTTTTCCATTAACAATAATTTGCTAGAGCGGTTGTAATTCTCTCATTTCCCAGATGAACCTAAAACTCTAGTAATTATTATTTTCTATCACTTCCCGTTAATGGTTTTGAGAACACTCAAGTAATTGTACCCACTTCCTGCTTTCTCATTGTTGAACCATTTTGCTGTCATTAAGTACGCCTTCAACCATTTTCTATGATCCCAACTCCACTGAACTCAACTTCTTAACTCACTTACTTCTCTTAAGTAGAACTTCCAACAATTGTTGACATTATTACAGCAATAAAAATAATATTTAACGATATTTCGGCACACCTTTCGCTCGCCAAATCCGCCACGTAGGAGCGCTAAACGCATGAAGAAAGGCAGGCGCTTGCAACTCTCGGTCTGTGTGTGGGCTGCTGTTGCAATTTTGTTGCCCCTTAAATTCGCAGTAATTACACAAATGCCACACTAATAATCTACATAAAAAGCTGGCGTGATTGGAGACCAAGTACAAAGCTGGGCATGACGCTGTCGCTGGATGTTACTGGAGTCGCGGTAAAAGTTGAGAGGCAACCATGGCGGACGTGCAGTTTCATGCAGCCACACGCATATAAAATGTGTATTCTTAAAATCACATGCAACCTACAGGCCGCTTCTCCCTCCTCACTCAGACAGCTGGAGGACCCGCCATGGTAGTGGCATGCAATCAGTCAGTCCATATTTTGTAGCCAACTTTCTTTACTCCCACACATAAAGTGAAGCCTAAATTCTATGCAGTTTCGGCGCACGTGCTCACATATACATACTGTTATTCATATTTGTATGTTTATATGTATGTGCTTTTGGGTAAAAGGTTTTCAACTTTCTGCCTGTTGCGCCAGAGGCAGCCACACTTAAAGTTGCATGCCACAAACCGCCGCTAAACGTTGACTAATAACGATGGGCTTAACGTGGCTACCTCTTACATATACTTACATATGTACGTGTATTTGTGTGTGGGTTTGCATTCGACTCGTCGTTCGTGGGCGTAAATGTCTCTGCTTTTGTCGTTGCACCATTTGGCCATAAGGAAGTTAATGCCTTGCATTATTTTGAATTAATATGTCTAGCTGTAGAAGTCGGCATTAATGTGCGTGTATGTGTGACAGCAACGGATGGACGTACGCCGCCCGATACAATGGAAATGTCAGCAGAAGTAGAAAGTTTCGCATGCAGTTTGGTACCGACTTGCCTCCCTTGCCACGGCCAGTCGGCGCGCTGTCAAAAACTTTTGTTACGTGGTAGCCGTTTCGTGCTCGCTCTTATTCTTTATAATTCTTTTTTATTCTGTCTCCCATTTAACTCGCAGATTTTTGCATTTTTGCAATGTTGCATGCATTAGCCCTATCCCGATGTGGCTACCGGGTGTGGAAATATTAATTTTTGAAAAATTGCAACTTTCAAAGTAATATACTAACTCGGACCCGGACTGATAAAAAAAAATCGATTACTCATGTCCAGTTGTGATGCGTTTTACGTATCAGCATCATTGTCAGGCGTCTCTTTTGCGACCTCTACTCGACGTCGTGACTCGCAATGACACGCGTCATACCCAAAAAGTTAACCCAAATACCCAAAATATTAACCAAAATTGCTAAAAGATTAACCAAAATATCCAAAATATTAATCTAAATACCCATAAGAGTAACCAAAATACCCAAACTATTAACCAAAATTCCCATAAAGTTAACCCAAATACCCAAAATATTAACCAAAATTGCTAAAAGGTTAACCAAAGTACCCAAAAGGTTAGCGATAATGTGTTTAGTCGTTCTAAAGATTCTCATCTATCTCTCTGATTTCAATACGATGATATTTAAGCTGTATGTTTCTCTAACTTTGTCGATGTTATCAAGAGAGGTGAATGGACGAGTCGCATGAGGCAAATTTTCGAAGAACTCACGACCGACACAGAATGCTTTGTGTCACCCAAATACTGGTTTTCGTTATAAGTAGACTCCCCAAAACTTTTTTGCAAAATTTTCATCAATTCCGGAGCCGTGATTTCATTGGAAAAACAAAACTTCACCCAAAATTTCACGTCATAAACAAACAGCTTTCAAAAACCGTAATTGACTAACATATGGAGATAAACTTCTCACGAACAAAAAAACTAGGGAACATTTTTTACCGATCTGGTTTGCGAGCGTAGCTTTAATGAATCGGTCGCTTTGACACCGGTAAAATGAGAAAGTTCATACAAAAATATGACCACACATTTTAACGCAGACAAACAATCATAGCTACATATATAATATCTAAATGTAAATTGTGGAAAACTGTTTTCTCTTCCATTAACTACCATTTAAGTCACCCTAAAATGTACAGCTATTATAACTTTCAGATTTTCCACACATTTTCTGTTGTAACAGCATCAGCTGATTTTTCTAATTGCGCCCAAAGATAGGCAATATTTTTTAATTTAAATTTTAACTTAATTTTTTAAATTTAGTTTTAAGTTTTTTATTTGGTTTTACAAAAAATGAAGGACATAAGCTGATTAGGATGTAATATTTCATTAGAAAGTATCAGTAATAATTCTGAACCATTTTTTCTATTATATTCCAGGTCAAGTATGAAGGCAGACCATTGTTTCTGACTTGCGTTTGTATGGCTTGCTTGGACGGAACCTCGACCAATCGTGTCATTAACTGCAGGTATGTAGGTTCATATGAAATAAAAAAAAAATCTTATCTTATTGGTCCACAATTTTGTGCACATACTTTCCATATTTGTGAAACATTTGCTAAACATTGCCACACATTATATTTTCAGATTCTGCGGTGAAATTTGGGATGGCTCGAATCTAGTCCTGGGCACCATGTATTCATATGACATTTTTGCCGCTATGCCATGCTGTGCTGAGCGTCTAAAGGTGTGTTCAGACATTTATGTTTATATTGACACTATATTGCAACATTCTTTCTAATTACCTTTGCGGCTTGATGTGACTAACCTCAAATATTTTCTTTTCTATATTTTTGCAGTGCAATAATTGCTTCAAATTGCTCTTGCACCCGCAACAGCGGCTCAACTTCTATAGCGACTATTCGCATTGCGTCACTTGTCCTTATTGCGCCACACAGGACACACACTTCGTCAAGCCGTTGAGCTTCTGCTACACCAAGAGCAATGTGTTGCGCCACCAGTCCATCGCATAACATGAGGCCCCGTTGGAGACCACGGAAATGCTGGCGGCAGCAACAACAGCCACACAAACAACAGCAGCAGCAAATATTGCCAGCATTGCCGCTCCAACGGCGAACATTAGGAACACCATCAGCAACAACAACAACAATGGCAACAATGGTAACAACAACATACAAACGAAAAAAATTGTACTCTACAATCCATCAGTGGATTACTCAGCACCGCTGCAACAACAAATCAATCCTGACATCATCGGCGCACATCCGCACGCACAACACTATCAGCAACAGTGCAGCGGCGGCAGTAGCGGTGGCAGTGTACCGAGCAACACCATACACAATACAAATCAGGTAAGACAGCCACTACAACAATCGCAACAACAACCACAACAACAAACCCAGCAACAGCCACGCTTGTCCGCATTTGCGCCCGTGGCTGGCGCCCGTCTGTCCCTGGCTGGCCTGGCAGCTGCTGCAGCACCAACCGCAAGCGCCCAAGCAAGCACAGGCATTACGTCAACACAGCAGCAGCAGCAGCAGCAGCAGCAACAACAACAGCTCCAGCTACAGCAACAAATGCTGGCAACACTAGCACTACCGTTAAGTAATTTGAATTTGAATAGTTTCACTAATGAAATGAGTCCGATTAAATCTGGTCTTGAACAACAAGAACATAATAATATTAATAACAATCAGGTGGTAGGGCTGTTAGGACGCAATGTAGGCGCCAATGGTTTACTAGCAAACAATAGTGTCGGTAGCAGTATTAGTAATTTATTAATTAGCAATAATTTAACAACGACCGCAACAACAGCAGCAGCAGCAACAACAACTGCAGTCGGCGTTGGAGACGGTGCAGTGGCTTTATTGCCAGCCAATAGCAAATTGAATGCTTTGTGGGGTCAACCGCAAGCCGCATATAATCACTCGGTTGGTAACGCTGGCGCTGGCAATCTCTTCAACAATCCCACCAACACCGCCGATGCCATCTCAACGCTGTGGGGTTGCTCCGCCTCGTCCGCCTCGAGTGGCGCCTCATCCACCAGCGGCTGCTCAAGCGGCTCCGGCTCGCAGCCATCGCTAAGTCCCACCTCCACCACATCCACGCGCCCAGATTATCGCTGTGGCGTCGGCAATGGCAAGGAGCCACTGTGGCCGTCGACACAACAAACTTCACCCAACAGCAGCAACACACTCAGGGATACTTATTACACCGCCACAAAGACGGCTGGTGTTGCCATAACCGCAGCAAATGTGTTGGTTGATGGTGGCGCTAATAACACCACCGATAGCGTACAACAATCAACATCACCCACATGCTCCTCCACCTCATCATCGGCCTCATCGACTTGTTCATCGGGCGTGGGCTCCAATGCCGGTCTCGATATCGGCACTTGGCCCAATTGCAAGTTGCAGAACTATTTTGCCGTCGACAATTGCAACACCAACACCGCTGACGATGTCGCACACTTTGCCAAAATCAACAATATATGGGATATACCAAGTGCAGCGGCCAACGCAAACAAACGTACCGGCGATCTGTTCACCGATCTCTGGTGCAACAATTCTGACAATAGCGCTGCAACAGCTGGCATGCGCGCCAACAACAACACAAATGCAGAATTTGAACTGGGCACCGATTCCATTGATTTTGGCGATGCCTCAAGCATTTGGCGCACCAACATAACAGCCACCACGTCAGTAGGTGGCAGCACTAGCGCTGGTGGACGCGCGCAATCCAAGCCGCTGGCAGCAGCAACCATTACAGGCAACAATAGCAAAGCAGTGCGTGCAAATCTGGGAACTGGTCCGGACAACGGTGCTGGTGTGGAGGCCGACGGCAACGGCGCGGCTTGCATGCAATTGTTCTCCGAACAGTTTCTCAACTACATGAACATAATGAATTACACGGACTAAGCTCGTCACGTTGGTGTATGACATAAATTTAGCGCAATTATTTAACAGTAAATAATTAAAAATGAATATAGAAATATGTGACAAGTGCAGTGCATGCGCATCCGCAATGTAAAGTGCATAACTAAGCGAACTAACCAAACAAATTTGTAACAAAAAAGTATAACATAACGGAATATGCGAAGACAAGCGTAAACTAATGTTTGTTGTAGCACAAACGAAAACATTTTTTATAATTAAAATATTTTTGCAATGCAATTGTGATCGTTTCGCGCGAAGAGAATTTTGATATAAACTGCAGTTATGATTGACAACTGCAAACTACATATGTTTGATAACAGCATATATATAACATAGCACTGTTATTTAGTAAAATAAATAAGAATACTAACATTTTTTGTAATATGAAGTAGTAGCTGTTTACCGTTAAACGAAGGCGAAAAAGTAGTACATTTAGTTTAGCTTATTTTTTTAGTTGTACAAAGGGTCTACAGCGAAACATTTTGCATTTGCCACAGTAGCTGGGTGTTAAGGAAATATTAGTGGATCGAAAAAGTTGGAAATAAATGATATGTTGGTTGATTCCATTAGTAAAAAAATTTGTTGCAAAAAATAAATACGGTTCATAAAAAATTAAAAAAAAATTCGGTTTTTCCCATTACAACATAATTACTTTTTTATTACAACATATTTTTTTAACAAAATTTGCCTTACAGCTTGAAGATTTTTCCATTACAACATAACTACTAACTACTTTAGTAATCAATTAATAAATTTTTAACACCAACGAATTGTTTGAGCGCACAATTACTTAATTTCAAAGAAATTCCAAAGTTTGCTGCAACTGAAATAATCTTGCCTCCGTAATTTATTAATAATTTACAACAAAATTTGCCAGCAATAATGTTTTTCATTTTAAAATAATTAATTTTTCATTACAATTTAATTACTATTCCATTACAACATAATTACTTTTGCATTGCAACAAAATTTTCATTATAGCTTCAAAATTTTTCCATTACGGTATAACTACTTTTCCATTGCCACATAATTACTCTTCCATTACCACATAACTACTAATGTAGTAATCAATTAATATTTGTTTAACACCCACAAAATCGTTAAACGCAAAATGTTTCCCAGACTAATAATTAAAAAGAATAATTTTTTGCGCTCAAAAAATTATTTGAATTATATTTTTTAGTTAAATTCGGAAATATGTTTCTTCAATTAAGAATTTATGTGAATTATTTTTTTAGTTAAATTCCGAAAACTGCATATTCCATCACCGAAAATTTGTGTACATTTATGTTTCTGTTAAAAAATAATTTTGTTGAATTTAATTTGAGTTTTATTTAAATCAATTTACTTTAAATTAATCTTAACTAATTTAATGCATTCAATTATAGAATTTAGTTTATTTACGGCTACAAAATGCAGATTTTTTTTAAAAATATGTGTGTTTGTGGCAACTCTCTACTTTAAGCTATTAAAAAATGGAGTATGCTTAGGATTTTTAAAAGAAAATTTACCAAATATTTTTGTTAGCATAAAAAAGGAGTAACTTAAAGCAAATTATTACTACAAAACATCACTAATTATGCGTTTTAATTAATTAATTTGTTTTTTTTTCGTAGCAAGTTGTACACATAAATCATAAATTAGCGTTACTTTCCATTTATATTTAATTTAAAAAAATAATTAAAAATTGCTGTGTTTTTCAATAAACATAAAAACCTACTTTTTGCAAACATAAATGAGTAAATATTTCATATATATAGACGTGTATTTAGATGAGGACCATTCTTTTGAGCAAAGTAAGAATGTCAGGCGAAAGAAACTCCCAAATTAGTTGTAAGCGCGTAAAAATAGCTATGCAAAATGATATTTAGTTATTATTTGATTGTAACTTTTCATCAAAACATCTTTACCTTAGATTGGTAATTATAATGTAGAAGAAGGACAACTCGCCACAGGGATGTTATATGAATATTTTTGCACTGCATGCAACCTTGCAATTTCTCGCTTAGAAATGTTGTGGTTTGGTGTTTTTAGTTTTGTATATGGTACAAATAAACCTTCGCGCCAAAATGTATGCTTCGCCGGGAAGTACGGACTTCAACGAGCAAGCATCTGCGCGATTCCATGTTTTCAATGCAGTTTGTTTCAGCCATTTCAAGTCTCTTTAAATGTAAAATTAAATACAATTAAAAAATTAATATTAATAAAAAAAAATTAAATAGAAATAAAAAAATTCCTCACCAGCCAACACCACCGTGGCTTAACTGTTGCAAATACGCCAGCTAACTGTAAATAGCATTCGTGTAATTCTCGTTTTTTTTTGCAAGCAATATGCATTTCACTTAATAGCACAGCGTGATCATATTAGTTGTAAGATACGCCCATAACCCCTTTATCCACTTACACCCTACAGTTTTTGTAATGCTTCATTTTAAGCTATTGAATATAT